CCTGTCTGGAGTTCCTGCGCGGACCTCCCTCAAGGGTGGACTGTGACCTGAATGTGTAAGCCATACAAACCCTTTCCTCCCCGAGTAGCTTTTTAGAAGGTTTTGTCTCAGCAATCAAATACAAACTAGAACATCAGGCAATCTGACTAGCTCTGCCCACACTTTCCTGAGGCCCAGCCGCAACCATCAAACCCACCCAATGCTGCCCCTGATTCTGGGGTCCGCCATCTCGACTCTGTCCATGCTATGGATCTCCAATCACCAGCTAGAAAACCAATCCAAGTCGCATCACCCTAGCCCCACCACATCCCTTTAGTGTCCCTCATTTCAATCAGAGAAATGGGCACGGCGCCCTAAAATGGCCTGGGAAGCCCCATGTAATCTGTGCTACGCCACCCCACCTCCTCTCCCAGCTGTAATACATCCCTTCTTACACCCTGCCCCTCATCCTGTTCGATCTCCACCCTGCCACAGCCCTTCTGCTGGAGGAGCTGCCTGGCTCTCATGGGCCTTGGGCCTTCCCATTTGCTGTGCTCTTGGTCAACTAACCTCGCCAGCCCATCACTTCCCCCTATCACACAGCCCCTTAGTTCATAGCTGTCCACTCCCAAACGGCAGGCATTTTCCCGTAACTTGGACACCTGGGCAGTACCCTGAACACAGCAGGGGCTCAAGAAGGCCAGCTAAGCCATGGCTAATCTTGCTTGCCCAGAGAGAGGCCACCCTCTCCAGACTCTCACAGGGTGATGCGGGCATTCATAGTCTCCAAACCTCTCAACAAGTGGGTGGAGCTTGTACCGGTGCGAACCCTACAGCCAAGGTTTTCAGGGTGGTGGGAGATGGACAGGAAGCAAGAACATGCACAAGACAGCTCGAGGGGTCAGCAACAGGGAAGGAGACAGGTCAGAGAGGGCGAGGTTGGGGTGGTTTCTCTGAGATGGTATGCAACAGAGCAAAAAATCTCAAAAGGGAGCCAGCCATGGGGAAAATGGAGGAAGATTACTCCAGGTCAAGGGTGCAGCAAGTACAAACGCCACGCAAAGGAATGAGTTTGACGTCTGAGAACGGAGGATGACCACGTGGTTGAACAGGTTTGACTGGGTGGGGAGTGTGTTGGGGCAGAGCCCAGGTCAGAAAGGCAGTAGGGGTCAATTATGCAAGACTCTGTAAGTCAGAAGAAAGGAGTTCTTCACCGTGTGGAAGTCCCCGGGGGAATTTCAGCAGGGTTGGAATGTAACTTTAAGAGTGCCCCCTAGCGGCGCTACAGGGAACGGCAACTGAGGGGTAAAGGTGGAAGCCAAGGAGGGCCCCTGGGAGAGCTGGAGTCTTCCTGGAGAGGGAGTGGACCTGGAGGTGAAGTCCATAGGAGAGGGAGGGAGGGCCTAAAGATGACTTCTAGTGATAGTAGATCCTACCGAGTCCTGGTAAAGAAAGATGTAGAAAGAGGTTTGCTGGGAGAGATGCAGATGAAGGTCAGACCACGTCCTCCCCAGATCTGCCCAAGCCTTGCTTCTGATTTTTTTTTTGGGGGGGGGGGGGGGGGGGGGTAGGGGGTGGGAGCAGGATCTTGTCAACCAAAGCAACAGCTGTCGCCTCAGTGAGGATGGTTCACTTCAGAGCGGAATATGAGTATGTGAGTAACCACAACCAAGAACACCGATTCAGGTTTCCCCAAATAACGGGTTCCAGAGAGGCAGCAATCTTGGGAACTATCTACAGTAACTGGAGCAAAGAAAGTCCTAAAGTAAAGTACGCTTTTCAAACACACTGGATGCATCAGGTTGCCAGGCAACAGCTGCATGGGGAGTGGGGGGAGGGCTCCGCTATAGGCTTCAGAAATATCTGACAGTACCCTTAGTCTTTGGCTGGCAGGAAGTAGGACTCCATTCATACGACAAAGGGCTGCTGATGAGGCTGAAGATGCACGGGCAGTTAGGCTCTCAACTTGCGACACCGCAACCTCTCCACACCACCGAAGTTCTCGTCAGTCAGTCAGTTTTTGCTGACGTAGCTTCTTTCTAGGAATTCTAGAAATCGTTCATAGTCTCATGTAACCAAGGCTGGCCTGGAGCTTATCACAGAGCCAAGCATCCTTGGCTCTATCATAGAAGCCAGGCAGCCCTCTGAACTTTCTGACCCTCCTGTTCGACTTCCTGAGTGGTGAGGATGCAGGCACACACCAGACTGGGTGTATTTGGTGCGGGGACTAAACCTAAGGTTTTGCACAGACTAAGTGAGCATCCTGACCCCAGCCTTCCCTCAGAAGTCCTAAGTGACATGCACCTGCTCCCTGATCATGAGACAACCTGGCCCCAACCTGGCCAGACCGTGTCTCTAGACAAGTGGTTCTGCCATCAGCAAGGGTCTTCCAAGGAGTCAAGCTTTGGAACTAGGCTGGAAAGCAAGATGGGATAAGAAAAGGCATCCCATTTCCATGTGAGCAATCCTGACAGACTTCACCGCAGCTCTGGGGTAAACCCTAAACCTGGATTCTGATTCTGCATGTACCTAGAGTCAAAGACCATCACCAGATTGGAGTTTTAGGTTTCTCCTTGCCAAAGCCACCACGCACTGTGGCTGAGCGGACCATGAGGAACACCTGTAAAGTTCTGGGCGCGGGCGCTCACTGAGTAACAGTGCTGCTGTGGGCAGTGATCTAAGCGCACCCACAGTATCAACTAATCCAGTCTTCATCACTGCCACCTACATGTGTTAGGGCTCTCCAGAGAAATGGGCCAAGACGATGTGCATATAGAAAAAAAAAACTATTTTTGAAGTTGGCACACGTGACTGTGGAAGCTTGTTGAGTACCAAGTCTGTGATGAGGGAGGCCAGGTGTGAGTCTGGGAACCAGTTGCGGTCAAGTCCAAAGGCAAGCTACAACAGAGCTCCTGGTTGGTGTGTGTGTATGCGTGTGTGTATGCGTGAGTGTGTGTGCGCGCATGCACAAGTTGTGTGTGTGTGTTCCATTAAGGCCTTCAATTGACTGGATGAGGCCCACCCACATTAGAGAGGGCAATTGGATTTATTCAGGGTTCACTGATTTAAATGTTAATTTCATTAAACAACAACAGCCTAGAAACACACAAATGAAGGGCTGACCAAGCACCATGGCCCACCTGAGGACATACAAAGATAACGATCTAAAGAAAAACAGCTAACCACCACAAAGTGCACGTAAACATCCCTAATTTACGAAGACAGAATAGGCCCTGGGAGGGAGAAATCTCCCATGAGTCACAGGGAAGAGGAGCCTGGTTCCGAATGCCTGATGCCTGGTTCCAGCCTGCCATTTTAACCATGACACTAAGTGGCCATTACCATAAGCATACCAATGTAAATTAAATTTCCTCATCCGTCCTTTGCCTGGATGAAGATGGAAGGCAGAGAAACTGAAGAGGTAGCCTGGGTGGGGCATGGACGAGTGGGCAGGCTCCTCAACTTAAACTGGAGGACCACAAGAATAATGCTATACATACTAACGCTACCGCTACAGTATCACACAGTACTATATATAGTATTATACACATAATATTTCATAGGGTTATGGTTTTATTAGGTGCTAAGAGCTATTCTATATCACATGAGACAGGCATCCTCATTATTTATTGTTTTAAGCATAAGGGCAACAAGAAACTTCCCAAGGCCAAACAGGAAGCTGGGGTTCAGCATTAACAAGTGTCTTGGTTATCCCAGCCCCAGTTTTGCCCCTCCAGCCTGGTTCTCCCTTGGGGTTCTGGCTGGCAGTGCTGATGAGCAAACTTTTCAGGCTTCTGTCACAGAAGAAAAAGTCTCGCTGCTGCAGAGCACACCTGAGCTACCCTGGCCCGGCTGTCAGTCACCTGCACACACACATCCTACCCCACAACTAAGTACACAAGCATGCTTCAACAGGCTTCAGCCTATAGCCCACGGAGGACACCCAGCCTATGCATAGTTATCAGCAGGACCACCCATGTCCGCACAACCCAACCCGTGGTCTCCCCCACAGACACAAGATAGCATGTGTACACCCAACACATCCAAACCTATGTTTACAAGGACACAGAATACAATTACTTCCACCTCAACTCCCACCCATGGCGGCAGCACGCAAGCCTCTACTTGGTCCACAGTCCCCCAGCATTGAGATATGGGGGCCTTGAACACAGCCCCAAAGGTCAGACTCTTCAGGAGACTCTTCAGGAGACAACGCTGCCCCACCAAGGCACATACAGCAAACAGACATAGCTGTTTGCCAATATAGCTCGCTCTGTCTGCCCCAGCCCCGCACCCCCAAACTCATCAACTCATCGCACTAACAAAAGATCACCCTCCCCCAACTAACTACACCCCACCCACGCCCAGGCGGTGTGCCATTTGGGAGAGCCTCCCCCACCTAGACCTAGAAAGAATTTTCTTTGGCCCTCCGGGGATAGTGTTGGAAGATAACCTCGCTCATGCTTGGGAAGCACCTACACCTGCTCTCCCCTCCACCTCCCGCCCTAAGATCTGGGGGAGGGTTCGGGTCAGTGGTGAGGTGCAGCAATCCCGAGTCTCTCAAGAGCAACCCCTTTTCAGTTCCCTCTCACTTTCCCACGCCGAAGAACCGGCATATCCACAAACTCTTCCAACGCAGTGCGAAGGACGAATGGGAAAGCCACAGCGGTAGCCAGCAGTGGCTCCTGCAGCTGAGATGCAGGATCCGGCTGCAGATGCTGCAGGGGCTCAGGCCGTTCCAGGGACACCTCCTACCCCATGCACCCCTACTTCCATCCAGGAGTCAGAGGGACTACAGAGGAGAATGAAGGTGTGCGGGGCAGAGAACTTAGAGGGCAAGGGACAGGGAGGGGGAAATAGATGTGCACCCTCACCCCGGGGCAGGCAGGACGATAGTGCCGCAGGCCAGAAAGGCATCCCCCCCACCCCCACCCCGCCGCCCGCGAAAGTCCTGCGCAGGATCAGAGGGACAAGTGCATGCAGCTGGAAGGTGAGAAAGATATACGCTGAGATTCTCTTACCTGATTTCCTTTTAGAACTGCCATAATCTCTGAAAAAGAAACAACAACAAATAGACATGGTTAGGGTGGGCGGGGGGCACGGAGCTGCAGCTTTGGGGCGCCCACCGCCGCGCTGTGGCAGCTCCCGGCGCCTCTGCTCATGTGATGCCGCGGTTCGGCGAGTCGCGCGCTCCGCAGTTGCACGCACAGCGCGTTGCGATACCCGCCCGCCGCCCGGCAGCCCGGCCTCCCAACGGCGCGATCGGCCTCCTCGCCCCGCCCTGTCGCTCCGCAACCCGCACCGGACCGCGCCCCGGCTTGCCCAAAGGGGCTCACCTTCCCCCAATCCTCAATAGATCCGAGAGGGCTATCAGATTCCCAGTGCGCTTGCAAAACAGGGAAACTGAGGCTACCGGAGGGTGGGCAATCGCTAGAACCCAGGCTCTGACCATTGGCGGACCCACTCCCCACCGCTGGAACACTCCACCTCCCAATACTTTGCTTCACTAGACCAGTAGCGACTTCCTCAGCAAGCTTTCATTCCTTCAGTTAGTTTGTTCGACCCTTTGATTCCATGGTGTCCTCCCCCATCCACCCAAAGCTCCTTAAGGCACACAGAAGCTGCTTTAACCCACTCCATCTTTGGGACTGGCGCAAGTGGTGGGCAAACATCGCCTGCAGGAACAATATTTAGCATCTATAGTTCTTTTTCTTGAAAGGCTAAGGCTGACACTGGGCCTTCTCCCAGAACACTCCGCAGGGGTACCTAGGAAGCTGGGAGTGGCAGGAGTGGAGACTGAGCTTCTAAAGTGAGCATTAGGTTCTCATCCTGTCACTTAAAATAACTGTTGAACCATAAGCATATAGTCCCTCCCCTCTTCCAGCTGCCTTGCTTGGAGGCTGCCCAGTTCTGCCCTCGGGGCGCAGGTCGACCTAGGGTCAGTAACAGGCAGAGGCAGACACCCCAAAGCGGGCTGCTCTGCCAGTACCCTCCATTTCCCCAACTTCCCTTCCCCAGTCCCATGGAATTCCGAAAATCTGAATTCTGTTAACGCTCAGGAGCCAGTTTGGGACCTATCTGGAGACAAGAGGTACTGCCCTCCTGGTCCCTGGGGACCAAAGAAAATGCCACTTGCTACCTATTTTTGGCCAAGCAAACTAGCTAGCTGGATCTGCTCCCTGGAGGAGGGTCTCAGCGGAGAAGGGCGGGCAGCCATCAGACTCAGAGCCTTGAGGTTCTGAGGGCGTGGCCTTAGGCAACAGGAAAGATGATTGGCCTACAGAGGCAGAGAGGCAGGGACAGCCCCCATTCCAGCTCCCCAGCTTTTGGGCAGGGTCTAGGAAGCCGCACTTCTTGTTAGGTATTGAGACAGCCTCACTACCTAGTCCAGGCTGGCCTTGAACTTTCCCTTGCCTCTGCCTCTTGAGTGCTAGAATGAGTCCCTGGGGCGACTAAAATCTGCAGGGCCTGTGGGGCAGAGGTTGCACTGTTAGGAAGGGTGGAGAGTAGGGCTTGGTGACACAAATCTGTATCCCATCACTAGAAAGAGGGCGGGCTCTCATCCTGCCCCCTTGATTTGCTAGCTAGTTTTATGTCAACTTGACACAGAATCATCATCAGAGAGGAGGGAGACTCAACAGAGAAAATGCCTCCAGAAGATCAGGCTGCAGGCAAGCCTGTAGGGAATGTTCTTAGTAAGTGACTGATGTGGGAGGGCCCAGCCATTGTGGGTGGGGCCATCTCAGGGGTGATGGTCCAGGGTTCTATAACAAAGCAGGCTGAGCAAGGCAAGAGGAGCAAGCCAATCAGCAGCACCCCTCCATGGCCTCTGTGTCAGCTCCTGCCTCCAGGTCCCTGCCCTGCTTGAGTTTCTGTCCTTACTTCCTTCAATTATGAACAGTGATATGGAAGGGTGAGTCAATTAAACCCTTTCCTCCCCAATTCACTCATGGTATTTCATGAGCCCCAGCCTGCTTCCACCTCCAGTGCCCCCTTGGTGTTCAGATGTGGGGAGAGCTCCCAGTAGGGAAAGGATTGGTATGTGGTGGCTGTTTCCCACCCAGAGAGGAAATTCCTTTTCCGAGATTTTCCACCGAGGCTGGCCAAAGGGAAGGGCAGGCCACGGCTGGCAGCTGAGAGCCGCCATTTCCCCATGGACTTGCTGAGTTCTAGAACTCCATAGTACACTGGCCATTCTCAAGGCTGCCAGTGGCCAGGCAGGAGTGGCGCTCTCCCTTCAGCGGCCTCCTCCACGCTGCAGGCTGTCTGGGATAGCAGCCCCACAGGCTAGCTGTCCCCAAGGGACAGGGGGACAGAGGAATGAGGCACATGTCACCAAGCACCACACTGAAGCTCAGGCTGACCATTCAACAGAACCATCTAGAAATCTGGCTAGAAACCCAGGGTGGAGCCACCCACACCTACTTGGTTGTCTGTGTTCCCAAAATGCTTCTTTGGGATTCTGAGGTTGGGCCAGGGTTGCATAAGCACCAGCGCCAGCCACACCTTAGGGGGGCATTCATATGAAGCAAAGTGCTCAAACTTCCCAAAAGGCTTCCAGACAGAACCTCCGGGCTTGTCCTGCCATCAGAGTCTGTAGCCCTCCACCCAGGATTCCTGGATCTCTCTCCCTAGCAATGCTATGTTCTCCCCCTTTCAGGTGAGAAGGGCAAGGCTTATAGACACTTCCTTGTCCAACATCAGTCAATGAGTGGCTGTTGTTGGGTTGGGCCACAAACAGGGAACCCTGGTTTAGTTCTGAGGCTACACACAAACTCTCAAGCCCCACCCTCCTGGAGCTGTGGGTGCAGGGGTAGAAGGCAACCCTGGGGCCTGACATGCGGGAGAAAGGGGAGAGCGGCTCTTGACGGTGGGGGCAGCTGGGTCACAACTGACTGGCAGAGAGGAATCCATAAGGTGCCTGGCCTCCAGCCCAGGAAGGCACTGCCCTAATAGGAAATTCTCAGAGGTTTCCGGTTGGGCCCCTTTCAGCAAAACCATTTGATATTTTTAACGGCTGAGCGTGCTGAGAAGCAGCTTAGGCATCTGGGACTCCCCCCATCCCTGACATTGCAGGCTATGAAAAGGCAGGGCTCCCCCACCTCAGGCACACCCACCTCTCACTGCCCTTCAATCAGTTCTGGCCAGACAGGACGGGGGGGGGGCGGGGGCTCGCTCTGTTGGGGGCCCAACAAGTCAGATTCCCTCCTCACTCAGTGGCAGTCCTAAGATGGTGATGACAGTCACTGCCGGGTCAATGCTCCACTCCCTGGAAGTCACAGTCTAGCCTGCCTCTGACTGGCTGCTGAATCACGAAGTCCCAGGGAGCCAGAGGAAGGAGTGGAGGAGGGAGGGTGAGGCTAGCATCTCCCTTTCATGATGCCAGAAGCTAATGTAATTGCAAAGGCCTCCCAGGCTCCATCAGGCTGTTCAGCCTTTTAGCCAGCCAGAGTGACTAGGACAACAGGCATCAATCGTGCTAAGCAAACTGGAACATGGGACTTGTGGGCAGGAAACTGGGACGAGTATTTCCCTGTGGCCCACAGGCTGGCCTGCAGCAGAGAAGACCGAGGTCCCCCTTCAGCTTCCTATCTGGGTCTGTAAACAGAGTCACACTGTTTATCTCTGGGTCCTTCTTGCGGAGATGCAATTGAGTTCATGTGAGACCGAAGCCTCTGGTTCAAAGCTAGGCTGACTGCTGTGGTGGTGACCCTGAACTACTTCAGTCCTGAACTTCTCCACCCACAGAATGAGGGCAGCCACAGTCACAGACAGTCATAGACTTTGGGGAGGGTGGAGTATACAGCATTGCTGTACAGGACTAACTATTCTGGAAGCCAAAGGACAGCCATCTTTGGGAGCTCAGCTGTTGGCTGTTTACATCCCTCCTACAGGCGTGGACAGGGTCATGAGACCCTCCTCTGGGTATCTGGCTGTTCGTATCGTCTGCTGTGTACAACTCTGCCCTAACTGCACATGGCCTGAGGGAGGGGCTTGAGTATATAGGCCCATGAAGGCTAGGGGAAGGGTCTTCATCTATGTGGCTACGGGAGCACCATCATCCCTGGTGGGTAAAGATGTTCTGGTGTGGCCTTTTGCAGGGGGCCCCTGCATTCCAGAAAGTAACCCCTAACCTATGCTTTGTAAGTAAGCCCAATAAATGCATTGGCTCTCTAGAGTGAACGCTGGTGGAATCTTGACTTGATTTGCCAGCTGACCCTTAAGGGTCAGGGTAGACAGGGCTTAGGTCAACCCGAGGAGGAACTTCAGCAACAGGCGTGCTGGAAAAGAAATGGCCTTGTGATAGTGCTAACTGCTGACTTGACAGACTAGATCGCCCGGGAGATCACCTGCTAGCCAGATGGCAAAAACTCCTTTAAGCTGGGGTGCTTGGCTCGGGAAGATAGATCAGCAGGCAAAAGGGCTGGCTGCCAATCCTGAAGGTCCAAGTGTGATTCTAGGGTACCACGTGGTAGAAGGAGAGAAATGGCTACCAAAAGTTGTCCTGACTTCATACATACGCTGTAGCGTGCACACACACAGAGAGAGAGAGAAAGAGAGAGAGAGAGAAAGTGAGAGAGAGAGAGAGAGAGAGAGAGAGAGAGAGAGAGAGAGAGAGAAAGCACTAAAATGCAGTAAATAACGTTTGTAATAAGTTTTAAAAACTTGGGTGCTGATGAGCCCCTGAATTCAAGTATATACATCACCATTAAGCTGTATCTCCCAGACCAAGGCCTTTTTTATAAGATGGTCCTTACATAGCCCAGGCTGGTTTTGAACTGGAAATCCTCCTGCCTTGGACTTCCAAGTTCTGGGATTATGAGTCTGCACCACTATGTGTAGCTTCAGCTTCTCCCTGTCTCCCCGTTCACTTCTCTAGGCGAGGGCTGTGCTCTTCCTTGGCCATCCCAGCAAAGCATCTGCTATTAGTGGCAGCAAGGAGAAAGAGGCTGGAGCGAGGGCTGGGAAAAGTTTTGCCTCTTTGTGTTAGCTGCCTGCCTCTGCACCTCTCTTCTGTGATGGCTAGTGAGGACCACCAATTTGCTGAGG